CCTCCATGGAAAATACATCATAAAGACCATAAATGAGCCCACAAAGTGAATCTAGCATAGCCTAAGCTATGCTCCTGCGGCAATATATGAATCAGTACAACCAAGTATACGATTAGGCAATCAAAATATAGGTTAATGATAACAATTTCCCCCTGAAGGAAGAAATTATGATACTCCAGTAGATGAAAATACCCTGAAGGACTGAGCAAACCGGATCAGCTGAGGAAAAAATGTCCAATAGACAACGAGTTAAAGACTTGAAACCCCAAACATTCCGAAAAGGAGTTTGACTCGTGAGCAGTTTTTTCGCTTCAAAATACACCCCAACCTGTAGTAGAAGCCTTTGAATTTATCTGCAATCAAAAATAGCTGCCAATGAGACTAAATTAAATGGGCGTACTTCGGCACCGTGGAGCCACTTGACTGGCAATATGGGTCTGGTTGGTGTTTCAATTCGGTCACCTCTTTCCAAACCTTCACCATCATCTTTTCATCTCTTCCACTGCCCGTTCTTTGAATTTTGGCAATGTCTTCAACTTGTCTCACCAGGACTCTGAATGTTTGAAGGTGATTGACAATGTTTCATGATGAATTTCACTAGTTCGGACTTCCATTGTCTACTATATAAAATGATTTGAAATCCCTTTGAATGCATCAAAATATGAAGATTTACTGAGGAATGGAATTCAAATGATTTTAAATAATAGACCAGGAAGAGAACGTGTATGGTACCAAATGGATGGTGCTCCACCCCATATTTCTCATTCAGTCAGCGAAGCTTTAACCGAAATCTTCGAAGACAGATGGATTGGTAATAATTTGTTGCCTCGTCTTGTAAACTAGCGACGAAGTCTTTGTTTCCCAATCACAAAGCATTTCACGAATTGTTATGGGGATTGGGATAGTTGAATAGTCTTGAATAGTGTTTATTGAAATCTTCTTGAAATCTTAACTTGTATTGAAAGTGTTACATACACTGATACAGTTCTTCTCCTGGAAAACCACATGCACCACATTTCATTTCTTATTTTAGCAGAGCATCCACCATCTTGTCAGCCTGCGTTTTCCAGATGGTCAACCTGTAGCCGAGAATGTGGTTCAGGACTTTCAACTAGACGATCGAATCTCAATCCTCGGTGTCATCCTGATACAGAAACAAGAATATGCCAGATAAGGAGGTGCCTGGAACCCCTACAAATGGATCACCATGAGAAGTATCACCATCTGAGGGTAAGAACAAACTCAACTTTTTCATTTCATCACTCTCTTACCTTACGAATCAAATGTAGCAAATAATATCCAGTGCGAACGTAAGTAGTCCCTCCTCCTAACTTTGAAACGCAATTAAACACTATTATAATATTTAAAAAACACAGAATATGATTTGACAGCCCAACCAGGTGATGGAATAGCAAAATCGGTTTCTCAAAAACACTATTGCAAACTAGAAGATGTAGAAACTTTGGCAACTTTTAATAGTTTATGGATTACAAATTGGATTTGGCCGCTTCGGCTTTTGTGGGTGAACGCATCCGAAACGTCCAATTTTCCGTGACTCCGGTACATAAATCAGGCTGAATTTGACCGATGATACACCTGCGACTTAGGAAAACACCACAAAAAACTCTAACGGCATCAAATCGCACGATCTCGGTGGCCAGTTCACATCACCTCCACGTGAGATGACGGTGCCTTCATATCGCTTGTGCTAACTATCCAATATGATATCCAATTGATGACTTGTTCACTTCATGGTAGTTCATGATCACTTCAATAAAAATACTTTTGTCTAAATACCACTGGTATTCAGAGACCTCACAAAATTTAATCTTTCAAACACAGTTCTAAATTCAGTAGACCTAGCTGACAAACTATAAAATCTGAGTATCAAAAATAATATCAAACTAGTATCATTCGACATAAAAAACATGTTTCCTAACATACCAACAGACGGATATCAATACATATTAGATAAGAGTCATAGAAATCCATATATAACTACTGAATTTTGCGATCTCCTTGATACATGTCTGAAAAAAAATTTCTTCAAATATAATAATGATGTTTACCTGCAAAACTCAGGTGTCCCTATGGGCTCGCCATTAAGTCCCATTCTGGCAGATATTTTTATGGACACACTAGAAAACACCCGCATCCTCAATAACCCCCTTTCATAGAAACATATTGTGTTTTGGTTCAGATATGTTGATGAACTGGTTGGTTTTGATGGTTCAAACAGACAACTTATTCAATTTTTGAACTTTTTCAATAGTCTGCAAAACAAAATTAAGTTCACAGTAGAAATCGAACAAAACAAGGAGCTTAACTTCTCAGATTTGCATATTTCAAGAGTAAATANTGAAATCTGACCTCTTTTGGTCGAAAGTCAGCCTTTAGGTGCTTTTCTTTCGCGATCGATAAAAATTGTTTTGTCATGACTATTTCTAATTGAATTTTTGCATGGGGGCCCCCAAAAACTAACCGGCTGCTATTGTTATTAATGTCGGGCGTTCCTCAGTAAATCTAAGGATTCTGGAATCGCGGTCGATTTGTTCTGCGGTGAACTTGCTGAAAGAAAATCTGATTAGTTATGCTTACCGGAGTCGCCTTACGGCGACTCGTGGGGGCAGTCTTTGGTTCTGCTTTGTCAGCCTTGGATGTTTGTCCCTTTCTCGGAACCTGGGGTCATCCATGTTCAACGCATCGTGTTGATCGCGTAGCGCTGGGTTGTCAAGCAACCCTTAGGAATTACTGCTATTATGATCTCGCCTACCTATGTTAATCCAAACCTTTGTTTCTTTGTTCATCCCTCCAAAGACCAATCTGGCCCCTTCTCTAACTATCGATGTGAAACATTGCATTTGTGTAAAATTTATTCATTACGATTCAAACCTTGTAAGAGTACAGTTAGAATTAAATCTTGTCTTGTCTATAGTACATCTAGGTAGTTATTTTTCTCATCCTATCTTTTCACAAGAGTTATTGTAATTCTAGTGTGCATTGAGCATTCATACTCATGATAAAACAATCGTGGGTCAAAACACAACTCAGTCCAAAAAAGTCGATAATCATCGACCTATAGTGCTGGCCGTTGCAGTGATGGCCTGGCCAACGTGGTTCTGAAAGAAATATGGATCTAAGACGCCACAAGTCCAAAATCCACACCAAGCAGTGACGTTTTCGTGATGCATTGGATGATCTTGGTTCTCATATGGACTGGTATCGTCCAAAATTAGTCAGTTTTGTTTGTTCACGTATCTATTTTTCTAAAAATGGTCCTCATCGTCGAAAATGATTTTTCTATCAAAATTAGGGTCAGTTGCCAACTATTTCAGAGTCCATTCAGCGAACACACGTCGTTGTCGATGGTCCTTTGCCTTCATTTGCCAGTTGAATAGTATATGGTTGCAGGCCCAAATCAGCTGCCTGGAATTCTCATGCACACTCTCACAGAAAGCAGCGATGTTTTTGGCAGTTCTTGCGTTTTGTCGACTCAAATTCATCAACCACTTTGAAAATAGTCCTCTCAGTAGGACGATTATGGCGATCGTAAATGGGCGAAGCGCGCTGTACGTTGCCCGAACAGATAACACGTTTTTAATTGAACAATTTTTTTATTTGCACATGTTGAATGCTATATCCGTCCATGGTGATTTGGCAAATCAGACTGAATAAATAACTAATTGTAGCTTAACAAGTTGGCCATTATCAATCGTCAAAAAGTTCCGATTGCAAGACTCTATACAGTGAGTAACAACGAAAACTCAACAGAGCCGTTTTTGAATATAAAAAGTAAGTAAGTAAGAGAACGCACCCCCTCGGAGGGGTGCGTCCGACGACCCTTATTTAGATAGGGAAAGTTCATTTCCAAACTTCTTGGCAAATTGCCACTTCTTGGCAAATTGGCAAATTTGTTTCCAATCTCTTTATCTTCCAAAAACTATTTTTTCTTCGCTATTTTTCTAGTTTCTTCTCCATTTCTTTCAGATTCGTCATTTCTCATTATTTTGAAGTTGTGGAACCGTGTAGTTTTCTCAATCATATTCCTCATGGTTCATCTTCTCCGGAGACATCCAGCATTGCCACCATAACACTTTTGGATAATAATCAGGAATATTCCGTTAATTTCTGGAACCACATTCATGCATTCGCTGCTTTTGTAACGATGTTTATATCGAATATATCAATCAATTTGTCATCAGTAGTACACACACTAGTTCACATCTGATCACAAATCATTCAAATAAAATATTCAAAAATCCACCCAATACCATGTTAAATGAAAATTAAGTTTCATCACTGAACTGCTGTGGTTCTTTCATTATGAATGCGCCTGGGACAATACTCTGTGAATTGGGAGTCTATGCCTGAGAGGACTCCAGGAATGAAAGCACAAAAGGAAGTTGGAATCCTTGAGGGTTACATAAACATATCTCGTCTTTGATATTCCATTCTGAATTATTAGGTATGTGAATGTCTTTGTTCTTGTCTTTTATCTGAGAAGGTTTCCATCATAGATGCATTAGGATGAGACGCTTCATTGGAAAAATGCTAAAGATGTTAGTTTTGAGTATATTTCAATGGTGTTTTGGAACTATGAGGTAAGTTATTCTTTTACTAGTTAATAAATGGAAGATGGTTATCTCGTTACGTAAAATAAGCACATATTTGATGTACTGAAGTATACCAAACTGAAAAGTTTGATAGAAATCAATATGTTTCATCCTGAATCATTTTGTTGCTGAGGAATATGTAGCTGAAAATAAATAACTGAGGTTGAAGAACCGAGGAGATCATCACTATGGACCTCGCGTCATGTTGTCTCGAGTTTCTCATTTCACTATTATTATTATATTATTGCCTTGAAATATTTTCCATCTTTTCTCCCTATGGATCAGATAGAACGTTTCTTAGAAACATTAAACTTAATTGTTATGATTGTCTTTTTGAATCCGTCCAGATATTTACCAAAAAGTTGATAGTCTAAATTTTGTTTCCAGAATGGTACCTACGGCTGCTCTTCACTTTGCCCTCAGGAGCACATTTCACCAAGAGGTTCTTGTCAGCACCCAAGACTTGTGGAAATACCTGGACAGTGCTGCAGAGAGTGGATGTGTGATAGCCAAACTGGTATATAGAATTTAAATAATGCTCAATCGTTAACTTTTCTCAGATAATAACCACTTTATCTCTTTGATCAAATGGCTCCAACTTTTCAACGAAGCCGATGAGTTTGTTTGGTGGTCCAATGACCTGAGAACCTCTCTCAGGTTAGATC